GGCGGGTGGGCTTTTGCAGGCGAAACTTGAAATACCCCACAAAGGGCCCACACCTTCAACAAATCAAAAGGCCTGAGAGGCGACACTAGAAGACGCAGGGCCGTGGTTTGGGAAGTGTTCGGGGCATGCACGGGGCGCGCAGGCCTACCCTCCACTAATTTAGCAGAGCATCAGCACAGAGGACAGAGCCCTCAAGTCCAGGAGTACACTGGCAAAATGCCAACTCAGCTCAGATCACACGGTACTTTTCACCCCATGCCCCATGACGAATTAAGAATCAAGTTCTCTCAGAACCGTCAAGCGCTCAATGGACTTTGCATGCAGTCTTCTCACTCACTCCGCTGTCGTAACAGCGATATCCGAAGCATACCAAAAACCCTCACGGAGTAATCTGGTGTTCAACAGACATGCAGGCGTTAGCACGGCAGTTCACACAGTTTTTTCATCCGGCATTAAGATCATTAAGTCATTAAGTGCGCAGAGTGCAAAGACACACGAAACGACCGCCTCGTGCCAGCAGTTCAGGCCTGAGCTGCAGCTGCTCTGTCGCAATTGTTGGATCTTTATCAAAGGACTCTGGCTCTGAGCACAGTCACGTGTGGAAGGGCAGCTTCGTGGGCGAGTTGCTGGGCGTCCGATCACGGGCAGTGCAAACAAAATCCAGCCGCCCCGTCCACAGTGAGTTGTGCAGGGTTTTGCAATTCACAATTGTCGCTCGCATCACATGGTAGGTAAAGGGAAGCACGAAGGATTGCAGGACCCAAGCTAGCCACCGGGGGCGATAACGTGACGTCAGCAAGGCTGTTGCCCACTTCAGGGACATGGGGAGCACGATCAAGCCGAGGACAATCACTGGCAGGTTCACTGTCAGCCCTGCGATGTCAAGCCGCAGCATGGGATTCAACATGTTCGGTCGAGCGATCATGACGATTGCAGCCAGAACTTGCCAGACTATGAAGGGGCTCCCCTGAAAAGGCTTCTCACACCAATCCGCGTTAAGGATCATCATCTTCTTTAAGAGTGAGATGTGTTTGGAGCGTGCTACCCAGCTCAGTGCCTGCGTCTTCTGCATCTGCCCACTCTCCCAGCGGACCCGCTGCGACACTAAACTGCTCAGGCTCGGAGGCACGCGCTCCTGGGCCAGCATATTGGTATCCAGAACGCCTTTGAAGCCATGGAAAGCTGCGGCCCGGTACATCGCATCATGATCCTCTGAAAGAGTCCGATGGTCGAAGCCTGTTTCCTTGATGGCATTCGTTCGCCAGAACGATCCACGACCATTACAGAAGGGAAGGCTCAAACTGCCATAGACCTCTTGAAACCCACCCAAGACCGAGTCATAAGCCGTGATGAGGGGGCCGCACACAAAGTAGCCCGCATCTTGGAGCCCAGCGAAGTCCTCCCAGCAGTGCACGAGATAGCACTGCGCAGTATCAAAGTTCTCTTCGAAGAGGTGCAGGGACGCGCGGCACATAGTCGCAGCTGAAACCATTGTGTCCATGTCATTGAACAGAGCAAAGTCAGTCTCAAGCATCTCTATGGCCATGTTCAGGTTGTCGCATTTAGTGGTCGAGAGCCTGTTCCGGTGCACAGACAGCTCAGGCCACTCTTTCTGAAGCTGTTCCAGCATCTCTTCCATCTCCGGATGCTCATCTGGTGAATTCCATACCAGAATCAAGCGGAATTCTCCGGGGTATTTTGACTGCTCTGTGCGGTAGGCAGCCAAAGAGTCCATGAGAATATCCTCCTCGTTGGGCATGTAAGCCGGAATCACCACGGTGATGGAACGGCATTGGTGGCTGGCCAGGCGGGCCTGGAGCTCTGAAGCTTCGTCCATCTCACCAGCGAGGCACGGAGCTTCGAAGGGCCCAGTCCTGTAGGCTTGAGGAAACTGCACTTGGGACCACCATTGTGCCATGTTCAAGGGCACCGCCTGCGTCTGCGCAATGCTAGTCGGCAGGAACGAGGCAATCTGCACCACGATGGCAATGCAAACGAGATGTGAAAAATCCTGATCGCTAACATACTCCAGATCTCGTTGTGGTCCTGCGGAGAAAACGTACAGGACCAGAAACACCCTGGTGCTGTAAGCAGCCATGCACACTGCCGTGACAAAGCCTCGCATGTACTTGCTCTGGATTTGGTAGCTTATGCGAGGCCCGAGCCATCCATCTGCAGCATAAGGATCCATCTTCTTGGGGAGAAACGGCGGCAAGCGCAACGGGTGGTCGACGGAAATTTCACAGACCATGCCAACCACCGAGACTAGCGGTAGCAAAAAAGCTACGCCCAAGAACATCCATGGGCTTGCAAAAAGGGATCGACGAATCAAGAAGTAGCGTAAGGATTGCAAGGTCTGCCACAATGTGACCAGATGTCGCTGCTGCTCCCAACGGCCAAAAACAAGCAGGAAGATCGCAAAGCTAAGGGTCTCCAACATCATGCTTAAGAGTTTGTCTCTCTCCAGGTTGCCGGGCAGCGCAAATGTTCCCGAATCCTTCGGGCCGGAGAGCAAGAAGAGCAAAGGGATGTTGCCCAGGATGTCCACTAGGCAGACCAGAGTGACCAAATCTGACCTGGCCACCGCCGATCGAGCAGGCCACAGGCCAGCTTGTACGGCTTCAGCATCGCGTGATGCGGACTCACGCGCCGTTCCTCCATCCGAAGCATTCGGGGATGGACTTGCCGGGGATCGGCGTCTAGCAAAGCAGCAGGCGCATGCACAGAGCACGAGCCCGCAACCTGGGATAAGAAAGGCTGTGGAGGACAAGATGACGCCCAGGCTTGCTGCTGAACGCAGAACAGCGAGCGCAGGGCCATGTGATTTATATTTGGCCTCGACAACGGTAGGGCGGTGCCATCTGGGCCTGTGCTTGAACATGATCATAGCATGGTTGCCGAAAGGAGGGATACGCCACACACCACTGTCCTCGACTTCGGGCACTTCCCTCAAGTCATCCCAACCTGGCCTAGGCGGCTTCACGTGGACAGCAGTTGATTGGAGCAGTCCTACACCACCTTGATCATCACAATCGAGGACTGAGCACTTTGGGGTTTGTAAGTGCTCCGTGCCCCAAGCTGCCGAAACGACAGAAAAGACGAAACTGAAGTGCAGTGGAAGCATAAACTTCCGTCGCAGCGTCGGCGAGATATGGACTGCGGTGTACCAGAGTGCGGGGAGCACTGCTGGTGGCTGTAGCCACTTGTGTTCGGAGATAGTGGGCCAGGTTTCTCCAGCTCAGGCATGCAGGTCCCGCAGTGCATTGCGAAACTGTTGGCGCACGCCCCTAACCACGCAAGTCACAGCACGTAAGGAAAAGTGAGCCAAACGCCGCAGACAACATCGGACGCGGCATCAAGCAGCCCGAGCTGTTGGCGACGATGCATACATCATCTGATTTAGCGCCTTCACGTCGCAAACGAGCATGGATTCAAAACCCTTCATCCTGCGAAGACCATACCATTACCGTGGCCGAACAAAGGACAGAGGCTGCCAGCGTTCAAGGGGCCATTGGCTCACTCCATTAAGCAAACCTGGCAACAAGGCAACTGATAGACAGCTGGCACAGTTGAATGGCCGGCCCAGCACTCCTGATCAGCCCTTTGACAGCCCAAGCGATGTTTTTCCGAACACGATCATGAAAAGGCTTCTGCGCCCTGTCACAATGCCTTTTGTCAGTGTGTCTCTTTGGCTGCGTCTCCCTCTTCAATCTCTGCGGAGAACCCATCGGCACTCCTTTTTCCTGTTGTGCCTGGGCCTCTTTGGTCCGCCACTCACAAGAAACGCTCGGTGAGAATGCCTCATGAAGCTAGAAGAAGCGGGCTGCATCGACCTGAGCAGCGCAGCCAGGCTGAAGACAAAGAGCAATGAGGTGCCTGCCTACCAATGAGCATTCAGAAATCGCTTCGCGCGCGCCTGTCGCAAACATCGCAAGATGCAACTCCTGCACCACACTCATCGCACTTGTGGGAACCTGGAGCATCGCCAAGACATTCTGAAGTAGCTAGAGCGGCAAGTTTGCGTTCTTAACGGCCTTGAACACACGTCTTGGGGCGCGGATGCACAAATCAAGCAGGTTCTGGCATCTTTTCTTTCTCGTCTCTTGACCGTCAAGACCAGCTCCCGTTTGGGAGGATGTCCGACATGAAAACAACCCAAGAGGCTGACTGCACCGTTCAACAGCGCTACGACGAATGGATGACTGGTGCGAAACGAAATACGGCACCACGTGCGGACTTCGTGCAGCCACAGCTGACTCACATCTGAGGCCGCGCGTGAAAATCGAAAATCCTGAAGATGGAAAAGTATGGAAAATCCTAGGGCCAGGCCTCT